GCACCTGCTCCCCAGCAGGGGGAGACAGAGAGTCAGCTGGGGCCCATCTGGTGCTTGGGAATGCCTGGGCTGCAAGGCAAATCCCATCCTGGCAGAGTTGAGGCGCCAAGGGAGTGCCCAGGATGCTTACCAGTTCACACCGTGGAGGCGCTGACCTCCTGAAACCTCCTGCTCCCTTAAGGGACGTGGGCCCCTAGACCTCAGGAGTGAAAGTTTCACCCTTCCTGCAAGGAGGGACCCCACGGCAGCCAGGCACACGCAGGACCCTCCTCCCAGCCAGCATCCCTCACCAGCTATCCCCTGCCCCACCTCAGAAACCCCAATCAGCCACCCCACTGCACTGCTAAGCCCAGACTCTTGCTTTGATCCAGAGGCCCCCAAGATCCGTGTCCCCCGCCACCTCCGTCAGACCTACATCCGCCAGGTGGGAGAGACGGTCAACCTGCAAATCCCCTTCCAGGTGGGTATTACCCCCACCAAGGGTAAGAGGCTGGGTGGGAACCAGGGCCCCCATTTAAGGGGAGCCTGAGAAGTGGCAGGATCTCCAAGGGTTGGGCTGAGACCCAGTGAGACAGCCTCATCCTCCCACAATCATGTACATGACTCATTGGTGATTCTCAGCCTGGGGATGGGCAGGTGGGCCCCAGAGCAGGCTGGACACCTGGAGGATGTGGCTCAGGGCAGCCCCTGTGGCTCCAGCCTCTGCTGCCCTCCTGAGAAGGGCCAAAGGGACAGGCTTCCCCAAGAACAGCTCGAGACTTCTGGAGTTAAGGGGGTGTGGGGACGCTGGCACCTCTCTACACTCACCCTGGGGGCTCCTCCCTGCCAGGGGAAGCCTAAGCCTCAGGCCACATGGACCCACAACGGCCATGCCCTGGACAGCCAGCGGGTGAGCGTGCGCACCGGGGACCAGGACTCCATCCTCTTCATTCGCTCGGCCCAGCGCTCCGACTCGGGCCGCTACGAGCTCACCGTGCACGTGGAAGGCCTGGAGGCCAAGGCAGCCATTGACATCCTGGTGATTGGTATGGAGCCAGGGGAACAGTGCTGCCTCAAGGGGGACCTGGAGCCCCCGACCTCCTATCCCAGAGCTGACGGCTGATGGGAGCAGGCCAAGGGAGTGTGGCAGGAGCCAAATCTTGGATGTAGGGGCTCTGTGGCCAGCCTGGCCCTCACGCTCACTTCCCCTCGCACTCTGGGCCTACAGAGAAACCTGGACCTCCCAGCAGCATCCGGCTCCTGGACGTCTGGGGCTGCAATGCTGCTCTTCAGTGGACGCCACCCCAGGACACAGGCAACACAGAGCTCCTGGGCTACACGGTGCAGAAGGCAGACAAAAAGACAGGGGTGAGGCTGGCTGAGGCAGAGTGGGGTCGGGGTACGAAGTGGTCAAGGTGGTGGAGAAGGCCCATCCCACTGAGTCTAGGGACCGAGTCTAGGGATCCAGTTCTGGTCTGCCCACTGCTAATCTGACTCCCTAGGAGGCCCTTAACAAGACTTTTCCTCTCTGGACCTCAGATGCCTCCTGAAGACTGTGAGGAGGGCTGGCCCGGGCTGTCTGAAGCCTTTCAAGCTCCGGAGCCACACTTCTCAAATCTTAATGTCCACATGAGTCACCTGGGGAGCTTGCTAAGAGGCAGAGTGTGACTCAGTAGGTCCAGGGTGGGGGCTGAGGGCCTGCATTTCTAAGAAGTTTCCAGGTGATGCTGAAGTTGCACATCTGTGGGCCACACTTTGCACGCGAAGGCTCTAGGATTCTCTGAGGACCCTTCAGAGGTCACCTGAGTGACCCAGGGGGCCCTTCTTCCAATTCAGTGTCCCTGAGGTCCAAAGCTGGATGGTTCAGCATCCCAGGGTTGGGGGCATGGAATGAGTTCCTGTAAGGAGAGGGCTCCAGGGTAAGCAGGGAGGGCGAGGACAGGGGTGAGAAATGAGGGTGACGCCCAGGGCCCTGCAGCAATGGTTCACAGTGCTGGAGCGCTACCACCCAACCACCTGCACCATCTCTGACCTCATCATCGGCAACTCGTACTCCTTCCGGGTCTTCTCAGAAAACCTGTGTGGACTCAGCGCCTCAGCCACCATCACCAAGGAGCTCGCCCACATCCAGAAGGCAGGTGGGTTTGGGCCCAGAGCTGGCTGTGCTAACTCTCTCCCTGTCCCTGCCTCTTCCTCGGCATCTCTGCACCCCTCTCTCTGGGCTTCTCCTGGGCGTCTGCCCCTGGAACACGGGCTGTCCCCTCACTCCACAGCTATGATGCATACACACGCACAGAATGGCTGTAAAGTAGTGGATGTGGCTGGTTGATTTTAACAAACACTTCAGAGCAAATCCACACAAATGAAAGATGCCCCTTTGGAGGCTGTGTACTTATTCCAGAGATGTGTGTGCATCCGCCAAGTTTCAGGCAGAGAGTGTCCGAAGGGAATCTAAAGGGTGACCCACAGGTCATGGATAGGTAGTGTGCTAAAACAGGTGAGTTTGCTAAAAGCAAGCCTCCCAACCCTAATACACACCACATAGATGGACAAGAGAGATAGGAGTATTTACTGTCTCCACACAGGCACCTGACCCTCTTGCGTCAAATGTTAAACCCTGGGCCCTTTTCCCTGTCCCTTGTGTGCCCCGAGGCCCTCTCCGACCCACAGTCTGTGCGGGTTCCAGAAGGCAAACTTTTTTTTAACACTAGCCTGAACTGCACAGAATTAGGAAGAAATTTTTGTTTAGAAAAGGAAAGCCAGTCAAGTCTCCAATGACAAACACAAAGGAAATATGGCATCTCTGAGTTACTAGCCTCCACCTTCTGCCAAGATGCTCTCATCTCTGGTTTTTTCACCTTCCCTTCTCTGCTCACCACCCTGACCCACCCAGCTACAGTCTCAGCTCTCTCTGCCTCTTTGAGATTGTCCAAGTTCCTGCAAATAAGCCATGACTTGCTATCCATAGATCGTGGATCACAGTCAATCCTAACAGGTCTCCTTCACTCCTGTAAGCTCAGATTCACCCGACTTTCTCCCCTGAACCCAGATATTGCTGCCAAACCTAAAGGGTTTATTGAGCGAGACTTCTCAGAAGCCCCTTCATTCACCCAGCCCCTGGCTGACCACACCTCCACCCCTGGCTACAGCACCCAGCTGTTCTGCAGTGTCCGAGCTTCACCCAAGGTGAGGGTCCAGGCCCTGCTGTGCCCTGGGCTGGTGGGGGCAGATGGGGACAGCAGGGCTGAGGAATCCTCCAGGCATCCACACCTAAGCCTGGGGATAGCCTTTGAGTGCCCCGCTCCAGTCCACACCTCCCCAGCTCTCTTCTGACCATGCCTCCCAGCCCAAGATCATCTGGATGAAAAACAAGATGGAGATCCAGGGCAACCCCAAATACCGCGCCCTCTCTGAGCAAGGCGTCTGCACCCTAGAGATTCGGAAACCCAGCCCCTTTGATTCTGGGGTCTACACCTGCAAGGCCATCAACGTGCTGGGGGAGGCATCTGTGGACTGCCGGCTGGAGGTCAAAGGTGAGAGTTTGAGGATGGGAGAACAGGAGTAAGCACCTCTCTGGAGCTGAACTAGAGGCAGCAGAGAGCTTAAAATCAAGGCAGAAGAGAAGGGGTAGTAAGATTGGGGTCAGGCTGTGCTGATTACTTTCCAAGCGGGAGGGTGGACAGGTGTAGAAGAGGGTGTATAACCGTGAACCTTGTCAGTTCCCCGCCACTTCCCCCAAACTCTAACTGCAGCCTCTCTTCCAGCCTCAGCCACGCACTGAAGAGCCACAGGAGGAGGCTGTGATGAGGAGCCAGGTAAATGGCCTGACCCACCCCCTCTGTCACCTCAGTTGGTGGCACGGAAGCAGAGAGGAGGCCGGGAGCAGGGGGTGGGAGTGAAAAGGGAAGGTAGTGGTCAGCTCTGGGTACAAACTTGAGGACACAGGCAACTAGCACGCATGTCCAGAGACTCGCAGTGACGTTGCAGGGCCAGGCGATGCCGGTGTGGTCCGGAAGGCGGTTGATTCCGTGGACCGCCACATGACCAGAGTCTGCTCCCAGCTCTGAGTGACCTTCAGCAAAGGTGTTCTCTCTGGACACATTTCCTCATCCGAAAACTGGGGATAACAACCTTTCCCTGCCTTCCCTCCCCTGGTGGTTCTGCGGCTCTGCATAAGTACAGAAGTATCTAGAACTGCAGTGGGCAGAGTTCAGACCTGGGCTTGGTCCTGAGGGAGGGAGGCCTGGTGAGAAAGAGGGTGCTGCTCCCCCTCCCCTCTCTGCACTTCTCTGGCCTGCAGCTGAGCTCTGCTCACACCAGGGGCTCAGGAAGCATGTCCTCCTCCAGGTGCTGCAGGCCTGAAGGGTCAGGTCCGCCAGGCCCACAGTCAAACTCCAGAGATGTCCAAGACCCCACTTCCATAGCGATGGCTGATGGAACTGCCCCTGGTACCTGCTGGCCTCCCTCCCACAGAGGCTGTTGTCCAGAACTCAGGACTGGGCCTGGTAGGCCCCGGGCCATGCTATCTGGGCTCAAGGGGTGCTGGAAGGCGCAGAGATTGGAGTGCCCTGCGGAGTTGCGCACTGGGTGGGAAGCACTCCAATAAAGATGCGTGGTGTTACAGTGCGGGGCCTCTGTGCCACTGAGCGTCATCATCTAGGGGGGGGTGCTGTGTCACCAGGAGGCGGGGGTGTCTGAATATTTCACCATGAGGGGTTCTCCAGATATGTCACCATGAGGAAGATGCCAGTGGGAGAGGTCTCAGGATGTCATGGCTGGGGCGGGGGGTGGGGGTTCTGGACATGTGAGTTTTCAGGATCTCACTTCCTGATCACGGTTTGCTACCCCAAGTGTGTAACTATGGAAACAGACACACCCTCTCTGGAACCTTCCTTCCTTGAACGCCTTCACAGGCTCACTCTCGCAGCTCCTCCCGGCCCCCGCCATTGCTTCCTCTCTGCTAAAGCTGTCTTGTTGCCCTCAACAGTGGTGGGGGTGGGCGCCCAGCAATGTGCTCTCCACAGGGTTCACAGTTTTTTATTAGTCACATGGGCCTCCCTTGGGAGCCAGGGCACACCCCCTTTCCAACAGAGGGAAGGGCCTGGAAGCAAGACCTGGAGTTGACACTCATGTTCAGAAGGTCAACTCAGTGACCACCTCCCCTCCCCTGCCTCGCCCCCCCCTACACGGGGGCTCCAGGCTCCCCCGCCTTACCTCCCCTCCACAGGGGCTCCAGGCTCCCTGCCTCACCCCCCCAACACAGGGGCTCCAGGCTTGGCAGGGCATGGGTTGGTCCTTCCCCAGATCCCTAAAGTCCTAGACCCCCAGACACCTGCAATAGAGCTTCCAAAGTCCCTGAAAACCCAGCCAAATACTAGGGGTATTGAGGGATTCACATGACAGCAAGGCCTTCTCCCACACACTCTCGGGGGGTGCTCTCCTCTGCCTGCTGCAGCCTGCTAAACCCACCCCAGGGGGACCCACAGTCAACACTGAGTCCTTACAGACCCTTTCCTTCGTCCACCCCGTCCCCAGGCAGGCAGAATGTCTAGGGTTCTCCTCTCCATTAGGCCCAGAAGCAGCAGAGATGGGGTCACCTAGGACAGTTCAGGTCCAGCATCGGGCGGGCCAGTGGAGCTGGTGGCCCAGATGACAGGTAATTACACTCCAGGCTCCTCCCTGGAAAACTCAGGGCAAGAAGGAGGGCTCAGAGCTGCCACCTCATGGCTGTTTGAAGCCAGCACCCACCGCACCAAGCTCACTCCCCAGGGCATGGAGCCAGCACTCCAGCAAATATCAGAAATGATTTCTGAACCTACCCTTTCTGCCTCTCCCACGTACAATCCTGGGCTGACCCAGGGCAAGGAGAGCAGGCACCCTAGCACCTGGTATGGCCTGGGGCCCAGAGTCCTCAGAGTTGGGAATGGAGGCTCCTTGATTCCTGCCCCTTAGCTGCCTCTGGCCACCCTCTCCTACAGAACAGGAGAGACAGCCAGGTCAGTGAGTCCTCGACCTCTCTCCTTCCATCCGTCTCAGAGGGGATGCTCTCCTCTCCTTAAGCTTGGTCCTGGGGCTGCACCACCAACATCTAAGACAAGCAGATTCCCCTGCCTCACTGCAGAAGCCCAAGCACCTTCTCCCAGCCCAGGTGGCTCCTCTGCAGTCTTGGCCTCCCCAGGACCTGCCCAGCCCTGAAGCGCTGGACTGCTCATGGGATGGTCAGGCAGGTGGAGGCTCAGGACACTCTTGCCTCTGGACACCCGGTCCCTCTGTAGGATCCTTGCCCTCCCAAGCCTCCTGCAGGGCCCAGAAGTATAGGGTAGTTAACTCCTAGTGGAGGGACCACACCCTGCGGGTATCTCTTCAGAGCCTCCCCCGTGCCCCTGGCCCACAGCCCAGCTGGGGCAGGCTCAGGGAGACCCCCGGGACAGTGAGCAAGTGAGGACTGGACTGAGACCCCACTGGATGTGGGCTGGTGGGAGCAGAAGGCGGGGTCTAGTCATCAGGCCTCTCTTCTGGGAGATCCTCGTCAATGGGGGGTGCAGGCTGGCAGCGGAAATGGTCATTCCAAATCTTAAGGAAGGTGACGCGGAACTTCTGGATGCGGAAGGCGTAGACGATAGGGTTCATGGCTGAGTTGCCGTGCGTGAGGAAGATGGCAATGTAGGTGAGGATGCTGGGCTTGTGGCAGGATGGGCAGAAGAGGGTGATGCAGTTGAGGATGTGCAAAGGCAGCCAGCTGAGAGCAAAGAGGAAGAGGATGAGGGCCAGCGACTTGGCGATCTTCAGCTCCTTCCCATAGTACTTCTGCGGGTCGCCAGAAGAGGCCGATACCTTCTTGTTGAGCTGCTTGCGGATTAGGTAGAAGACCTCCAGGTAGATGAGGACCATGAGGAGAAGCGGGGGCAGCACCCACACAAAGAAGTTGAAGTAGACCATGTACTCCATGCTGATGACTTTCTCGAACTCGCACTTGATCACGGGCTCCCCCATGCTGCCGTTGGCTGCCCAGGCCCGCTCCACCGTGCTCAGATTGTTCCAGCCAAACATAGGGGTCAGCCCCACCACCAAGGAGAGGATCCAGCAGCCGGCGATGGCCACCGCCGCCCTCCGGGGGGTCACCACCATCTTGTATCTGGGGGAGAAGAGGGCAGAGTGTCAGGATCTGCCTCCCAGCTGCCTCGAAAGGCCCCTCCGAGGCACACCTGGCTTCCAGGGGCCTCTAAGAGGAGCACCCTCCCCATCCAGGGCCCAGTGAGTGGGGAGGTGCATGTCTTTTGCTTGAGGGCCGAGTCTTCAGGATCTAAGATTTAGTGCTTGCCATGCATTGGCTCACTCTCCTGCAGAGAAAGGAAATCCTGATTAATGACAAAAATAATAATAGAAAATCACGGAGGAGCTCCTTTAGGAATTTCAAGGAAAAGTAAAAATTCCTCCCATGCGCTCAGCACGCCCCCACTGGTTATCTCACCCTTGCTTCATGACAGCCTTCGTTGCGTAGGAAGTCACCGGCAGAATGAGGGCTACCCAATCGACAGATGAGGAAACTGAGGTTCAAAGTAGTCACAGGATCTGCCCAAGGCCACATGGAAGGTGGCAGCGCCATTCCATGCTTCCTAAAACATGTCTACACTGACCGAAACACCCAGGTGATTAACAAACCATCCCTTCTCTTAGGCCAGCAGACACAACTGTCATTTCAAAAAATCTTTCACACAACCCCCCTTCTCTTGGCCTTATCCCATACTCCCCTGCCATACCCTGTCTCCCACCTCTACATTAACTTCCTGTTTCCCCTTCCAATCACTGTGCAGCACTTAACTCCTAACAGCTTGATCTCAAGAACCAGCCCTGCACTCCCAAGCTAACTGGAAATGATGCTCAGGAAAGAAAACTGATATTCACTGAGCATCTACTACATGCTGGATACTTTCACTCATTCATTCATGCATTTACACACGCATACATGGATGCATTCATTCAGCAAGCATTTGTCAAGTGCTTTCTGTGCTAGGCATTGCTCTCTGTGCTGAGAATAAGATAAAAGATCCCTGCTTCTACATATCTCACATTTTGGGTGAAGAGACAGATAACACCAAAGCAAGAAAATAAACAAGACAACTACAGATCATGATACGTCCTTTAAAGGAAATAGGTTGAGTCAAGGGCCTAACTTTTTTCATGTCATGACCCACAAAGAAGATGGAAACATCTGGATGACGAGGCTGCTCATGAGCCACAAGGGTTGGGCGTTTTCACATCTCAGGGGTTCCTGCTTCCCTTTAAACCAATCTAGCCAGCGGCCATCATGGCTTCTGCCTATACACTGGCCTTGGAGACAGTGCCAAGGGCTGGGTCTCGCCAGCTCTGTGCTGAGGAGCCGGCTGAGCAGCAGCAGCTTGCCCAGTTGTTATTTTCCAAAGCAGCTTCTGAAATGGATGGAGTGCCCTCCTGAGCATGTAAACAGCTTCTGAGACCCAGGAGTGTGAAGGGAGAGGCTGCCGACCGTTTCCTTCTGCCCCAGGGATGCAGAATCTGCGGCTTTCTCCTGCATGGTGATGATGCTTAAAGTCTGTCTCACCCCAGACAATGCTTCTCCTATATCCTTTACCATCCATCAAAGCCCACCTGCTCTGTGAAGGCTATAGAAGTAGGAAGGGAGACAATTTGCAGAGTGGGAGGAACCAGATGCCCCCTCTCCACCCCATCTAGAAGATAAGGACTAGAAGAGACCTTTGGAATCTCATTTTCTATCCCTTCATTGTCCCAGTGAAGAAATTGAGGACTAGATGACTCCAACACCTTCGGAGCAGTTCCCCTCTCCTACTCTGTGATCATAGGATTCTTGTGCCCCAAACCACCACCAAGGGGCCTTGAGAGGTGACTGGTTCACTTGTGACTCTGAAGTTTTCTTAGATCCAATCCTCACTCTCTTGCTGTAATTGAAGCCCTTTCCCTCCTCTGTATCCTCAGCAGAATGGCCAGGCCTGGTGCAGACACTGTGAGTCAGAAGACCCAAACTTGGGCCGCCAGTCTGCAACTTGCTAGATCAATGTCTCCTCTGTAAAAGAGACCTACTTCAGAGGGGGAGGATCAAATGAGATACTACGTGTGCAAGTACTCTGTAAACACCCAACCAGTATTCCTTTGCCTGAGCTCTTCTTACCCCTCCAAGCTCCTAGACAAATGGCCACCTGGAAAACTCCAGTATCTCTGGATGCTCAGCAAACACAGCCTAAGGGCTATTTAAACATCTTCCTCACATCTTGTTCCTGACCATCTCAAAGTGTTCCCCACGTGTCCTCTCAGATATGGTGGAAAAAGTTCCGGGAGTGAGTCTACAGGAAAAGACCAAAGGAACAGTGGTCATTCTGAAGGCTGAGAGATGCTATCTCAGCAGCCACACAGTGGAGAGCAGGGCCAGATCCCCAGGTGAACCTCAGCAGGGAAAGACAGCTGCTGCTGCAGAGAGGACGGGGCCAGGTGTCCTGCCTACCCCTACCACCCATCACATCTGCTATTTATACCACATTTATCATGTACAAATCCCTTTCTCAGTCCTATCTCGGGTAATCCCCATAACCGCTGCTGTGGTGAGCACAGCAGACAAGGGAATGCCCATTTCACAGATTAGAAGCCCCACTGGCCTGGGTCTCCTGACTCCAAGCCCAGCTCACCTTCAGGGTGCCAGGCTGACTGTGGGTTGCTGAGATACAGATGATTGGCATGTTGAAAATATCCCTTGCCTATTATATTTAAAAGGGGAACTTCTAGACCTTGCCCAAGGAAGGCACCACCTAGAGTCAGTGGGGTGGGCCAGGTGACCTCTGGTGCTGCCGTCCAGCCTATGGATTGAGGGATCTAGCCTGGGACTGACATCAGGGCAGTGATGACCTATGGAGAGAGGAGAGGTAGACAGTGACAGTCTAGACACTGACAGGAGAGAGGGAAGAGACAACTTCTAGCTACAGAGGTGGCTCCCTCCCCTCTTCTCTCCTCACCCCTCACCCTTCTGACCGCCTGGAGCCCCCGGGGTTAAAGCTTTCCTGGGACTCCTCCAGTACCCAGTCCCAGCAGACCCTGCAGCTTAGGGTATCAGCTCTCATCTGTTTTTCTTGCTATTTTCTCCCTTGTGGGAAAGGGCTGGACCCAAGACCTTGGCTGAGGTGGGGCAGGCTCTCACAGGAAGGGCTGCCTCCCAGGGCCAGGGGAGAAGCTCACCTCTCCTTACATGTGGGAAAGGAAGCAGAGGCTGCAAGTCCTGGGGCATGCATGGGGTCGGGGTGTATGGAAGGTGCCTCTGACTTGGGAATGCCCCTCCCAAGTCCACAGCATCCCCGAGGGCTGTGCTGGGAGCTAAGCAGGGTGATGCTGCTCTCAGGAGTATGCAGCTGAGGCGTGCACGAACGGGAGAGCAACGGAACAGAGACAGGAAAACACCAAGTGGGGCCCCATCCACAGGCCAGCAGGGCAGACAGTGCCTTAACGATAGCCCTGAGGGAACCGGGTGCAGTGGCTCATGCCTGTAATCCCAGCACTTTGGGAGCCTGAGGCAGGATCACGTGAGGTCAGGAGTTCAAGACCAGCCTGGGCAACATGGTGAAACCCTGTCTCTACTAAAAAAAAAAAAAAAAAAATACAAAATTAGCCAGGCATGGTGGCGCATGCTTGTAATCCCAGCTACTCGGGAGGCCAAGGTAGGAGAATTGCTTGAACCCAGGAGGCAGAGGTTGCAGTGAGCCGAGATGGTGAGATTGCGCCATTGCACTCCAGCCTGGGCAACAAGAGCGAAACTCTGTCTCAAAAAACAAAATAGCCCTGAGGCAACCAGGGAGAGCCCCACCTCGAGAATCTCCTTCAAAGTGCATAAAATCCCACAAGGAATGAGACATTCCTTTGGGTTAAGAGTTGCCTTCTCTGTGTGCTATTTATTTATTTAGTTTATTGAGACGAGGTCTCCCTGTGTTGCCCAGGTTGATCTCGAGCACCTTGTGCTCAAGCAATTCTCCCCCCTCGACCTCCTGAAGTTCTGGAATTACAGGTATGAGCCACCACGCCCACTTGTGTGTTATTTTTAAAAGCTGAAATGACATGAACTCCATAGTATGAATTAGTTTATTAGTCGGAACTTCTTATTGATGATGATAACATGAAAAGACTGAGTCCCCAGAGCAATGGTCTACAGAGACCCTGAGAGGCAAAGGGATCGCTTGAGGAAAGAAATGGAAGGGGGTTCCTGTTGAGCCTCTCAGTGCTGGCAAGAGCTGGTGGCTGAACAGAAAAGGATTTCATATCATAGCTGCTGCAAGAGTGTCAATATGGTTTAGAGGTGGAAATGAGGGAACGAAGTCTACAAATCCTGTGTCCAAATAGGGCAGGGCAGAGAGAGCCATTGGTTCTTCCCAGGACACCCTGGCAGGGCTGCCATAGGAGGGGTGGGAGATTCTGGAGGCTAAGTGAGGAAGGAGTTCGAAAATAATAGTTATCTGATCAATAATAACAACAATAAAAATGCTGGTAAGCGTTAACATTCATTTCTATGCGCTGGGCACTATTTATTTATTTATTTATTTAAGAGATAGGCTCTCACTCTGTCTCCTAGGCTGGATTGCAGTGGTGCAATCACAGTTAACTGTAACCTCAAACTCCTGGGCTCAAGAGATCCTTCCACCTCAGCCTCCTCAGTAGTAGGGACAAGTGTGGGCCACCATACCTGGTTATTTTTAAGTGTTTTTGTAGAGATGGGGGTTTCACTATGTTGACCAGGCTGATCTCAAACTCCAGGGCTCAAGTGATCCTCCTGCTCTGGCCTCCAAAAGTGCTGGGATTATAGGCGTGCGCCACTGCGCCCAGCCCTGGGCGCTGACTTTATAGACATGGTTTTATTGATACTTCAGCACAACCCTATCACTTAGATACTACAGGTTGAGCATCCCTAATGTGAAAATCCAAAAGCCCGAATGCTCCAAAATTCAACACTACTTGAATGCCAACAAGACACTCAAAGAAAATGTTCATTTGAGCATTTCAGATTTCCAGATTAGGGATGCTCAACCAGTGAGTATAATGCAAAAAATCTGAAAAAATCCCAAATTGGAAACACTTCTGGTCCCACACATTTTGAATAAGGGATAC